TAAATGACTGGATAAATGACTGGATAAATGACTGGATAAGTGACTGGATAAATGACTGGATAAATGACTGGATAAGTGACTGGATAAATGACTGGATAATGACTGGATAATGACTGGATAAATGACTGGATAATGAATGGATAATGACAGGATAAATGACTGGATAATGACTGGATAATGACTGGATAAATGACTGAATAAATGGCTGGATAAATGACTGGATAATGACTGAATAAATGGCTGGATAAATGACTGGATAATGACTGGATAAATGACTGGATAAATGACTGGATAAATAACTGGATAATGACTGGATAATGACTGGATAAATGACTGGATAATGACTGGATAATGACAGGATAAATGACTGGATAATGACTGGATAAATGACTGGATAAATGACTGGATAAATGACTGGATAAGTGACTGGATAAATGACTGGATAAATGACTGGATAATGACTGGATAAATGACTGGATAAATGACAAGATAATGACTGGATAAATGACTGGATAAATGACTGGATAATGACTGGATAAATGACTGGATAAATGACTGGATAATGACTGGATAAATGACTGGATAATGACTGGATAATGACTGGATAAATGACTGGATAAATGACTGGATAAATGACTGGATAAATGACTGGATAAATGACTGGATAAATGACTGGATAAGTGACTGGATAAATGACTGGATAAATGACTGGATAAGTGACTGGATAAATGACTGGATAATGACTGGATAAATGACTGGATAAATGACAGATAATGACTGGATAAATGACTGGATAAATGACTGGATAATGACTGGATAAATGACTGGATAAATGACTGGATAATGACTGGATAAATGACTGGATAATGACTGGATAATGACTGGATAAATGACTGGATAATGACTGGATAATGACAGGATAAATGACTGGATAATGACTGGATAAATGACTGAATAAATGGCTGGATAAATGACTGGATCATGACTGGATAAATGACTAGATAAATGACTGGATAATGACAGGATAAATTACTGGATAATGACTGGATAATTGGCTGTTCTCATGGTAGCTGGAACACCCGCTGGAACGCTAACAAGGAGATAGATGGAAACTAAGTACCTGACTATGCCTCACAAATAAAAAAAAGAACAGTTTCAGTGTCAGTAGTAAACAAATGAACTGGTCTAAGAAGTGAGGTGGTGGAGGCAGACTCCATTCACAGCTTTAATTACAGATACGACAGAGCCCAATAGGCTCTGATACACCAGACGATTAAGGGTTAAGGACCCAGGAACCGTAGTTCGCCCACAGGCTCTCACAAACACAACTAGGTGAGTACGCAAGCCCTCAGACGTGCCGGAATTATATCAAGTGAAGTGAGGACAAATATACTAAATAGATACCGCAACTGATGGCTATCAGCGATGCCCAAAGGTCAAAAAATTCAAGTGAGCAAAGAAAAAACAAGATGGAACGTGATAATCTTTGAAAGCATCAAAGGATTGGCTTTGAATTGAAACCCGAATGAAGACAATCAAGACTCACCTAGAGACAAACACCACAAGACATGAATTTAAACTAGAAAATAACTACACAAGAAATGGAAGAAATTATTGATTCTTTAAATAAAGTTCTTCTGGAGAGCCACACAGCTTCTCCACGTAGCGCTACGTGGAAGAGTCACTTGCGAGGGATGAGGGGTATGAAGAGCTACTGAAGGAAATAACCCTGGCCACGCTAGAAAAAAAGGAGGGTGCAGGAAGATATGATAGAGATGTATATAATACTTAGGGGGGGGGGCGGTATGGACAGAGTGCTGAGCGATATATCTCACCCTCCCTCACCCTACACAATCTCATCTCAACTCAGCCTCCCCTTCCTCCTCTCACCCACTCACCCCCACACCACACTAAACATCCCCCACCCTAACTCCCCATCCCATATCCCCCCCCTTCCCATAACTCCAACTACCTACCCTCCATCCCTCGCTCCCCTTCCCTTCCTGAGGATGGATGGCTGCGATAATTGGACGGTGCCCTGGCTATCATTATGTGCTTCGTTTTCCAGTACGTTATCTTCCACCTTCCCCCTGTTATCTCCCGCGTCTGAGATGCTCCCTCAGGGACACGGAGAGCCTACATCAGGTACACTTTCAGGGGAATGAAGGAGTAGAAATGGAGAAGAGTAGGGAAGAGGAATAGAGGGGAAAAATGAATAAAGAGGGAGAGAAAGGATGTGAAATGTCTACCTCACCGACCTCCTACTCCACATTCCTATCACAATGACTGCATGTATATACTGGCGTTATATAAAGGAAGGGAAATGCATACTAACACGAGGGTCATTAACATCTGCAGCAATTTCTTCCTAATGTGGACGATGATTGGTCGCATTTGTGGCAGAGAGAGAACCAGTGATGATCATTACTCGAATGATATTAAATTTGAGACAGGCATAGGGATGAGTGGGAGAAACAAATGGTGTTCAGTGATGAACGCAAAATAAACAGATTTTAAATAAAACAAAATAAAGAAAATAATTAATAAACAAAATAAACAAAACTTATTTTATTAATTTGATTAAAGATATAAAAATAAAATAAACAAAACGGGAGACAGATTTGGTGCTAAATGATAAAAGTTGATATCTTGTCGATCACGTTTAACTCATTAATGACTATGAAGAACAACGTGCTGAGCCCAACAAGCACGACAGTCAAGAAACTTACATTTATAAAAGGAGGAGTGTTTACTTTCTCGACCGCAGTGGTTGCAAAACTTTATAATGAAACACAAGTTTGTTACCATCTTGAGGGATGTACAGCTCTCCTGGAGGGCCACCTCCCCCCCCCCCCACCCACCCACTATAATTAGTCGAATTATGGACAATATAGAGAAGCAAAGACTAATTGCTAGTCCTAATTCAACCCGGTTGGGACTGTTAGTATGTAAACGACCCATCCTCTCAACTAGTGCGTCTCATTTTCTACGTTATGGTCCCCAAAGTATAAATTACCAAGTTGACCAGACCACACACTAGAAGTTGAAGGGACGACGACGTTTCGGTCCGTCCTGGACCATTCTCAAGTCGATTGTAATCACAATCTCAAACATATATTATTCGCCACCATATAGCCCAAACGGCTCGTCTCTAACACACTTGTTTTGTGGTAGTAAGTCCAGATCCACGATTGGTTAGGTTGGCAAGGTGGCTTAGGTTCGTGGGGTTTCGAACCCTTTTGTTTTTCTATGTTGTGGCAAATTAAAGTTAACGGACTCCCTAATTAACCTCAATGGTAATATATAAACAAAGAATTTGTTAAGTGGGAGTCGAACCAAGGGCTTGGTGGATGTCTGGCAGACGTAATTCACTACCTGGGGCCAGATTCACGAAGTAGTTACGCAAGCACTTACGAACATGTACATCCTTCCTCAATCTTTGACGGCTTTGGTTACATTTATTAAACAGTTTACAAGCATGAAAACTTGCCAATCAACTGTTGTTATTGTTATAAACAGCCTCCTGGTGCTTCGGAGCTCATTAACTGTTTAATAATTGTAAACAAAGCCGCCAAAGATTGAGAAAAGATGTACATGTTCGTAAGTACTTGCGTAACTGCTTCGTGAATCTATCCTCTGGTCACTGGTACCGCCAGTCTGACCAATGGTACATGTAGTAAAGGTCATTAACCAGACCACACACTAGAAGGTGAATGGACGACGACGTTTCGGTCCGTCCTGGACCATTCTCAATCGACTTGAGAATGGTCCAGGACGGACTGAAACGTCGTCGTCCCTTCACCTTCTAGTGTGTGGTCTGATCAACATACTTCAGCCACGTTATTGTGACTCATCGCCTGCATAGTAAGGGTCATTAACCTGGAAGTGAGTGAGGAGTGAATGAGGTAGAAGGATGAGAAGTACTCACCTTGGCGTCCCAATGAGTAAGACTGGGTAGTACTCATCCAGGTCGCACTCTGAAATAGAATCAAAGACTAAGATCAATGTGTGTGAGTACATGTACTCGCCAACATGTCCATACGGCTCCTAGAGAAAATCTCAGTTTTCAAATTTCAAATTTGTATCTCAAAATTTCAAAATCTTAGTTTCAAATGTCTTCAGACTATTTGTAGTCTATGGCAATCACTCAGTTTTCATGTTTTTCTTATCATACTTATATTAAAAAAAAGTTTATTTGGCGCCTTTAATACCAAAAAAGTTCTCTCTGACATCCCTGTGACCTACCGTTGAACAATGCTTTACTTTGTCAATTCCAAAAATAATCTTTTACGTGATTATCATGTCCCCGTTATACCTACTCGTCTCCAGTATGGTGAGGTTAAGTTCTCTGTCTTTCCTCGTAGCTCAAGTCCTTCAGCTCAGGATCCAGCCTTATGATGCTATTTATGTGCGTGTTACAAAGGTAGTTTATAGGGCCAAGAATGCTTTTTCGTCCATGTTTCAGAAGGCTACACGGACGTTGGCCAGTTTGGCCCATGCTGGTGAATGAGAGAGAGAGAGAGAGAGAGAGAGAGAGAGAGAGAGAGAGAGAGAGAGAGAGAGAGAGAGAGAGAGAGAGAGAGAGAGAGAGAGAGAGAGAGAGAGAGAGACAGAGAGAGACAGAGAGAGACAGAGAGAGATAGACAGAGACACAGAGAGAGATAGACAGAGACACAGAGAGAGAGAGACAGAGACACAGAGAGAGATAGACAGAGAGGCAGAGAGAGAGAGAGACAGAGACACACACACAGAGAGAGAGAGAGAGAGAGTGAGAGAGAGAGAGAGAGAGAGAGAGAGAGAGAGAGAGAGAGAGAGAGAGAGAGAGAGAGAGAGAGAGAGAGAGAGAGAGAGAGAGAGAGAGAGAGAGAGAGAGAGAGAGAGAGAGAGAGAGAGAGAGAGAGAGAGAGAGAGAGAGAGAGAGAGAGAGAGAGAGAGAGAGAGAGAGAGAGAGAGAGAGAGAGAGAGACACACCACACTAACCAGTGCCTGCCCTCCCACAGCGTGCAACATACTGGTGGACGACATGTCTGGAGTCTACACCCTGAGGAACCACGGCCGCCGCTCCAACTGCTCTATAACCACCATCTTCCCCGCCACCGTCTCCATCGTCCAGCTGGCTGTCGGCATCAATGGGGTCGCCATCCCCAACAGGGCCGTCGAAACCGGCGTTCTCAGCAGGGTGAGTACAACCCCTCCCCCTCCCACACACACTTGATTGACAGTTGAGAGGCGGGACCAAAGAACCAGAGCTCAACCCCCGCAAGCACAACTAGGTGAGAACTAGGTCAGTACACACACACACCTACACACACACACACACACACACACACACACACACACACACACACACACACACACACACACACACACACACACACACACACACACACACACACACACACACACACACACACACACACACACACACACACACACACACACACACACACACACACACACACACGGATACATAAGAGCCACAATTAGGACTTCGACAGCAGATGGGAAAAGGATTGTGGTCCTGGTGATCTACAATCCCCTACCGAACAACAGATGACCCAGACAGGAATATGATGTCAACCATAAGGCATGTGACTCGAGGAATTCCCATGGTGTGGAAGAAACGTGGGGAGCAAGATAAGTGGATGTTATAGACAGAAACTTCCTAACACGACACGTGAAGGAAGACACACGAGAAAGGGGAGGGAATACATCGAGCCTATTACATCTGACCCTCACTCAGAATGAGGAAGACATCGAGAACTTGGAACATGAAATGCCACTAGAGTGTTAGTCAGCTGTCACGGGCTGCTTCCTGGGGGTGGAGGCCTGGTCGAGGACCGGGCCGTGGGGACACTAAAAAGCCCCGAAATCATCTCAAGATAACCTCAAGATAACCAAGATAGAAGCCAGTGATGACTGTGTCCTAGTCTTGGATTATATGATCGCACTTAAAACAATGACCACAAGACAAGCGGTCAGGGAAAGGAGACTTCACTATAGAAACGGGGATTAATTTTTTATTTTATTTTATTTTATTTATTTTTATTTATATATATACAAGAAGGTACATTGGGTTTGTGAGAATACATAGGATAGTACAGTATTTACATTCTTGTAAAGCCACTAGTACGCGCAGCGTTTCGGGCAGGTCCTTAATCTAGCAGATAATTTTAAGTAGGTAATTTCAATCAGAATTGATAAATGATAAAGATACATTACAAGAGAAAAATGAGATGAGAGAGATAAGTAGGTATATTAAAGCATATTGTTATATTAAAGCTCTGATTGATTACATTGACAGCTTGATTAGTAATTTAAACAAGGTTAATAGACACCATACAGCAGATTGACAGCACATATAAGACAGCAATGATCACAATGATAATTGATAATTGCAATGATAATTGATAATTAAAGAAGATCTGGGAGTTGTACAGTGGGAGGAAGAACTTAAAGAGGACAAAAAGTACAGGAAATGATGAACCAAGTCAAACGAAGATGCCAGGAGGCTGAGGAGTGCTTCATAACTATAAGAAAAAAATGTAGGAGAAAATATAATGACCCAACTCACAATCGACTTGAGAATGGTCCAGGACGGACCGAAACGTCGTCGTCCCTTCAATTTCTAGTGTGTGGTCTGGTCAACATACTTCAGCCACGTTATAGTGACTCATCGCCTGCATATAATGACCCAAGGTTTAATAAACAGTGTCAAGCAGCACAAATGAAAAGAAGGAGGTGAAAAGACAGAGGAAAACAGGAATAGAAAGAGGAAAACAGGAACAGGAAAAAGTTTATCGAGAACGATATTGCTAGTTTATAAGAAGGAAAATGACAGTGAATGACTAAATGACCAGACAACGAAAAACGGGACGAGGCATAAACAGAAAGTGATTAGGAATTTTGCGAGGTACTGACCGCCAGTTTCCGTGGAGTCTCCATAACCGAACCTGAGCAGCTCTCTGCGTTAGAAGAGGGGAAAACCCGAGATGAGAGACTATATAATATAGAGGTGACAGCAGAGGGGGGTAAAAGACAACGGGCTCACCATAGCCCGTGCTACTTGGAACTTTTTGTTCTAGGTAGCGAATCTTAAACAACAACAGGGGGCAGCATAGGCCCTCAGCGTACCTCAGGCAAATATACATAATGAGTCACTATCCAATGGGAGCCGGTCGGCCGAGCGGACAGCACACTGGACTTGTGATCCAGTGGTCCCGGGTTCGATTCCGGGCACCGGTGAGAAACAATGGGTAGAGTTTCTTTCATCCTATGCCCCCTGTTACCTAGCAGTAAAATAGGTACCTGGGTGTTAGTCAGCTGTCACGGGCTGCTTCCTGGGGGTGGAGGCCTGGTCGAGGATCGGGCCGCGGGGACACTAAAGCCCCGAAATCATCTCAAGATAACCTCAAGATAACAAGATCCAACGGACAGCTGTCTAGCTACAGAAAAGGTAAAGGTAGTACCAATGTTTAAGAAAGGAGAGAGAAAAGTGGCACTTAAATATAGAAAAGTCTTACTGACAAGCTAAGTCTTACTTAGTAAGTCTTACTAATCTACAAACAACTTGAAAAAATAATCAGGTTAAGACTAATAACGCACTTAAGAGACAATTACGTATGTGAACGAACACCAACAGGGATTTAGGGAAGGGAAGTCAATCGACTTGAGAATGGTCCAGGACGGACCGAAACGTCGTCGTCGTCCCTTCACCTTCTAGTGTGTGGTCTGGTCAACATACTTCAGCCCCGTTATTGTGACTCATCGCCTGCATAGGGAAGGGAAATCATGCCTAATGAAGAGTTCTGGAGTTCTATGATAAAGTGACAAGACTAAGGCAACACAGGAAAGGCTGAGCAGATTCCATATGTCTAGACTGCCAAAAAAAACCTTTGACACAGCACCTCACAAGAGATTACTATACAGACTTGAGAAGCGGGCGAGAGTAAGCGGAAAAACCCTAACATGGGTAAGTAATTACCTAACAGACAGGAGTCAGAAAGTAACAGATAGCTGGGGCGAGAAGTCGGACTGGTGAAGAGTAACAAATGGGGTATCTTGAGATTATCTTGAGATGATTTCGGGGCTTTAGTGTCCCCGCGGCCCGGTCCTCGACCAGGCCTCCACCCCGAGGAAGCAGCCCGTGACAGCTGACTAACTCCCAGGTACCTATTTTACTGCTAGGTAACAGGGGCATAGGGTGAAAGAAATTCTGCCCATTATTTCTCGCCGGCGGTTGGGATCGAACCCAGGACTACAGGATCACAAATCCAGCGTGCTGTCTGCTCGGCCGACCGGCTCCCCCAAGGATCGGTGCTAGGACCAATTTTATTTCTGATATACGTAAATGACATGTTGAGTCTTGTATGTCAGTGTATGCAGATGATGTGAAATTAATGAGACGAGTTGAGGGCTAACAGACAAGGATTGTACGATTATCCAAGAAGACTTGAACATGTTGCAGAGATGGTCGATGGCCTACTGAAGTTGCATACGAGCAAGTGTAAAGTCATGGCAATGGGAACATGTGACAGAAGACTACAGGCACAATACACAATGAAGGGAAACTACCTCCTTGTAACGATTCGAAAAAAAAGCGACCTGGGAGTGGACGTAACACCAAACGTAACTCCAGAGGTACATATTAATAGGATAACGTCAGCAGCATACTCTACACTAGCAAAAGTTAGAACATCATTCAGGAACCTGAATAAGGAAGCATTTAGTTAGCTTTACACCGTCTGCATGAGACCAGTCTTAGAGTATGCTGAAAACCCTAAAGAAACACAATGAAACTAGAAAAAGTTCAAAAGTTTGCGTCGAGGCTCGTCCCAGAACTCAGAGAGATGGGATATGAAGAGAGACTGAAAGAACTGAACCTGACGACGCTAGAAAAAAGGAGAGAGAGGGTCGACATGATAAAGACGTATGAAACACTCAAAGGGATTGGCAGTAGAAAATAGAGGAAAACTTCACAATGAATACCAATAGAACAAGGGGGCCGTGGGTGGAAGCTTGAGACTCAGATGAGTTACAGAGATGTTAAAAAGTTTGTATTTAGAGTTGGAAAATGGAATGAACGAGAGGAGCAGGTTGTAGAGGCAAATTCCAGTCATAATTTAAAAAGTAGATATGATAGGAAAATATGCCAGGAGTCATTGCTTTAGACAACCGGCGGCTAGAAGGGCGGGATCCAAGAACTAATGTCCGATCCTGTAGACACAAATAAGTTTCTGCAGTGTACTCACCTAGTTGTACTCACCTAGTTGTGCTTGCGGGGGTTGAGCTCTGGCTCTTTGGTCCCGCCTCTCAACCGTCAATCAACAGGTGTACAGATTCCTGAGCCTATTGGGCTCTATCATATCTACACTTGAAACTGTGTATGGAGTCAGCCTCCACCACATCACTTCCTAATGCATTCCATTTGTCAACCACTCTGACACTAAAAAAGTTCTTTCTAGTATCTCTGTGGCTCATTTGGGCGCTCAGTTTCCACCTGTGTCCCCCTTGTGCGTGTGCCCCTTGTGTTAAATAGCCTATCTTTATCTACCCTATCAATTCCCTTGAGAATCTTGAACGTGGTGATCATGTCCTCCCTAACTCTTCTGTCTTCCAGCGAAGTGAGGTTTAATTCCCGTAGTCTCTCCTCGTATATATAAGTGTGTGTGTGTGTGTGTGTGGGTGTGTATGTCACCTATTTCACCTATTTGTGCTTGCGGGGGTTGAGCTTTGGCTCTTTGGTCCCGCCTCTCAACTGTCGATCAACTGGTGTACAGATTCTTGAGTGTATGTGTGTGCCTGTGTGTACATGCACACACAAACGTATGTACGTGTCTCGCGGCCGAGGGGACAACATTAGGAATTCTCATTCCACGAACCCGGGTACGATTCCCGACCAAATCAGAAACATTACTTTTTCAATCGACTTGAGAATGGTCCAGGACGGACCGAAACGTCGTCGTCCCTTCACCTTCTAGTGTGTGGTCTGGTCAAATTACTTTTTCACCTGATGCCTCTGTAGTCCCTCCCACACTGACAGAGCCCCTCCTCTCCCATACTAAGACTTCCCCTCCCATATTAACACAGCTTCTCCCACACTGACACAGCCCCTCCTCTCCCATACTAAGACTTCCCCTCCCATATTAACACAGCTTCTCCCACACTGACAGAGCCCCTCCTCTCCCATACTAAGACTTCCCCTCCCATATTAACACAGCTTCTCCCACACTGACACAGCCCCTCCTCTCCCATACTAAGACTTCCCCTCCCATATTAACACAGCTTCTCCCACACTGACACAGCCCCTCCTCTCCCATACTAAGACTTCCCCTCCCATATTAACACAGCTTCTCCCACACTGACAGAGCCCCTCCTCTCCCATACTAAGACTTCCCCTCCCATATTAACACAGCTTCTCCCACACTGACACAGCCCCTCCTCTCCCATACTAAGACTTCCCCTCCCATATTAACACAGCTTCTCCCACACTGACACAGCCCCTCCTCTCCCATACTAAGACTTCCCCTCCCATATTAACACAGCTTCTCCCACACTGACACAGCCCCTCCTCTCCCATACTAAGACTTCCCCTCCCATATTAACACAGCTTCTCCCACACTGACACAGCCCCTCCTCTCCCATACTAAGACTTCCCCTCCCATATTAACACAGCTTCTCCCACACTGACACAGCCCCTCCTCTCCCATACTAAGACTTCCCCTCCCATATTAACACAGCTTCTCCCACACTGACAGAGCCCCTCCTCTCCCATACTAAGACTTCCCCTCCCATATTAACACAGCTTCTCCCACACTGACACAGCCCCTCCTCTCCCATACTAAGACTTCCCCTCCCATATTAACACAGCTTCTCCCACAGTGTGAAAAGCGAGGATCCCGGGACTACGTGCAGATAGGCGGCGCTTCGGGCCTTGACGTTACCAAGATGGAGGTAGAGGACTCTGTGTGTGGCATGGACTCAAACCCTCGTGAGTAACCTATACTGTCTCTCTATATATATTACTATAAGAGAGACTGATTCTCTGTTGTCTTTCTGTACGAAGTTGAAGGCCTCGGGGTTGGGGCTAGCCTCTCCCAAATTGGCAGAGTGGGCTACGGTTGGCATAAAAAGATGTGTAGGTGAATGGATATGTAGATGAATGCACAGATGCCTGAGTAGATGGATGGATATGTGGATGGATGTACAGATAAACTGACAGGTGGATAGGTAGATGGATAAATGGATGGACAGATGAATAGATATATAGATGTATGGATGGATAGATGAGCGGATGGATGAAAAGATGAATAGAGGGATACATAGATGGTGGACAGATAGTTGGATAGAATGATGAATGGATATATAAAAACATATAAATGGATGGATAGATAGATAGACAGATGGGAGATAGACAGACAGATCCGGGCGATGCCAGGTACCATTCCAATTAGTCTTATAAAAGAATGTCTGTCCAGAGTTGAAAGGCAGAGACGCTTCGGGTCAAGTCAGTACTTAACAAAAGAAGGCACCCACTCTTATCTAGAGCTTATCTCGAGATGATTTCGGAGCTCAGCGTCCCCGCGGCCCGGTCCTCGACTAGGCTTTCTTTTTGTTACACATCCCCCAGGAAGCAGCCCGTAGCAGCTGTCTAACTCCCAGGTACCTATTTACCCCTGGGAGAAAATGTAGCACCAGTCGTGTCGTTGGATATTCAGTAGATGTTAAATATCACACAGGGTGTCAATACGAGAAGAAAAGGACATAACGAGTGTTATCAAAGCTATCAGATTCACCCAGAAGTCTATTCGAGGGACAACTGCCCCTCGAGGGACATTAAGAAAGAAAAAATATACGATAGTCCTGAATATCGGGACATTCTTCAAGGAGGTGCGTGACTGTAAGTGGGACACTGGAGTTAAGACACGAAGTAACGGGGTGGCGTTCCAATAAGTGTCCGGGAGTTTAGCGTGTACTGCCATTATGTAGCCTAGCCAGAGGCGTTTCCCACCATCTATTCCGGTGGTCGGAGGAAGGCCACACGGATATTTTACCGTCAAGAGTGTACAGTTTGTTACCAACGACCGACGACACTGCCAACGGTCGCGGGTTGAGGAAGGAATGACTGGCTAAAAATCCGACTAAGGAATGTCTTTTTTGGGGAAATTGTTTCACGCTAAATATAAAGCATGTCAAACGTGAACATCTGAGTATTACTCTATACACTCCCATTTATCTACCCACGGTAGGGGGGAGGGGCCTCGTAGCCTGGTGGATAGCGCGCAGGACTCGTAATTCTGTGGCGCGGGTTCGATTCCCGCACGAGGCAGAAACAAATGGGCAAAGTTTCTTTCACCCTGAATGCCCCTGTTACCTAGCAGTAAATAGGTACCTGGGTGTTAGTCAGCTGTCACGGGCTGCTTCCTGGGGGTGGAGGCCTGGTCGAGGACCGGGCCGCGGGGACACTAAAGCCCCGAAATCATCTCAAGATAACCTCAAGATAACGGTAAGTGGAGTAATAATATCAACAGGCTGTATTCAAGTTTGATATATTAATGACTTCACATTTAGACCAAAAATTTCTGTTCTTGCACTATATCATGAGGGGATGAACCTAACTTCATCTGTGTCCACTCTGGTTCAAGTTCAAGTATGTTCAATGAGATAAGAAAGAAATACATCTCAAAGGGATAGAGTAGCTTAGGCTATTTCTACCGCCCCTCCACTCTGGTGTCGTCACCACACATAAATTTACCTGAGGGTCACTATTTGTCTAGTGGCCTCAACGAGGAGAGGAAGCCGGCGGCTTGTCAAAGATCCCTCTATTTGGCCTGGTGATGTTTTTCAAGCTGGATTTTTACCACCCAAGGGATGAGTATGGGGTGCATTATAAAGAAAGAAATTGACAAATTTATTTAAAAATTCAGCAGTGTTTTCGCATTTAAAGCTTCTGCGGATCGGTGGTTCCATTGATTTACAGCCCAGATTTATAGGGAGCCGGCCGGCCGAGCGGACAGCACACTGGACTTGTGATCCTGTGGTCTCGGGTTCGATCCCGGGCGCCGGAGAGAAACAATGGGCAGAGTTTCTTTCACCTTATGCCACTGTTACCTAGCAGTAAAATAGGTACCTGGGTGTTAGTCAGCTGTCACGGGCTGCTTCCTGGGGGGTGGAGGCCATGTCGAGGACCGGACCGCGGGGACACTAAAGCCCCAAAATCATCTCAAGATAACCTCAAGATAATCCTGTGGGTGACAAAATCATCTGTTTCTGTCCTACATTGTGGCTTGTTGATCTTGAAACCGGCGCTACTTGTTAGTGTTACGTCTGACCCTTTGAAAATGTTGTCTGGATCAATATCATCTAAATTGTTCCGTATTTTAAAAGTTTCGATGAGATCAGCCCTTTCATATATGCCTGGTTAGGAGTGTTGTTAGCCCCCCTGTGACCCTCCAACCCGTTCTCGCACTTTCGTATAGTCAATATTGACTTATTAAATACGTGCGTATGTGTCATACTAATTTATTGTGAATATTTTAGTTTACCTTGAAAAGCTTCATAGAAAACACCGACCTTACCTAACCTTCTTAGTATGTTAAGATAAGCATCTTATTGTTTCGTAATTACAATTATTACTTAACCTATTATATGTATAGATTAAGAAATAATTGTAATTACGAAGCAATAAGATGCTTATCTTAACATACTAAGAAGGTTAGGTGAGATCGGTGTTTTCTATGAAGCTTTTCAAGGTAAACTAAAATATTCACAATCAATTAGTATGTCACATATGCACTTATTTAATAAGTCAATATTGACTGTAAGAAAGTGCGAGAACGGGTTGGACCCTCAAACTTGCCTGATATAAGTGACTTAATTCTGGAGTGATTTTTGTTACTCGCGCTGAGTCATGTTTATTATTGTGTCCACGTCACATACACACACGTGTTTGTGAAAGTATTTCCTGTGTATACACATGTATACACAGCAAATACTGACTGTTAATAAATGCATGTTGATATTTAATAATATAATTCCACAGCTTTATCAGTAGTATACCCTGGAGGGTCTGGGACGGTCACTGTGGCGGGTGATGGATGGTGAGTTTGAGCTTGGCCAGAGTGTATGGGGGTGATGGATGACGGTGGGTGACGGGTGACCGCGGGTGAGGTGATGACCGCGTGTGAGGGGATGACCGCGTGTGAGGGATGACCGCGTGTGAGGGATGACCGCGGGTGAGGGAATGACCGCGGGTGAGGGGATGACCACGGGTGAGGAATGACCGCGGGTGAGGAATGACCGCAAGTGAGGGATGACCCCGGGTGAGAGAATGACCGCGGGTGAGGGAATGACCGCGGGTGAGGGGATGACCACGGGTGAGGAATGACCGCGGGTGAGGAATGACCGCAAGTGAGGGATGACCCCGGGTGAGGGAATGACCGCAGGTGAGGGATGACCCCGGGTGAGGGAATGACCGCGGGTGAGGGGATGAGGGGAAGCTGCCAGAGTTATTTTATTTATTTATATACAGGAAATTACATTGGGTTGTGAGAGGACATACATTGGTGAGTGTTACATTCTTACAAAGCCACTAACACGCCAGATAATCCCACAAAAACACCGGCAGGAACGCCAGATTAATAGATAAGCCAGAAGGGAAACGGAGAAATCAAACAGAAAGCAACAATCAATTAATATACAAAGGAAAAACTCAGTTTACAACGCATGGGAAGGAATTAAAAAGTTATCCATGTAAATCCGCTCATTTAAATTCACAGAAAACGGACCGCATTACAATTCCTGGTACACTAAAATGGATTTCCTCCATTCCAGAGAACTATTATAATAGGTACAACCTGTCAAAATTGCAAATTTTACCTAACAGCAACACTAAAACATTCAAAAGCAGAAAATTTACATAACGAAAATCGAAAACTGGGAGCGAAATGGGTGGGGGAAGAGAGAGGGGGGGGAAGGATGGTACGATACCAAAGTGTCAAATTGTAATTCAAATTCAAATGTTTATTCAGGTAAAGTATATACATACAAGGTGTGATACAAATATTGATGAATTTATAGATAGAGCTAGTACATACAATGCCTAAAGCCACTATTGGGCTGGGTCGAATATTGATTGGGTCAAAACTAACAAGCCTCAGAGGTTATTATGATAAGTATTGACTAGAGCCTAATACCACATCACGGCATCACTAACTACAACGGTCATAACGTTCAGCTCAACAGGACTACCGTTACAGACGAGGTTTTGAATACATTCCCAGTCATGACACAAAGTTAAATTGCAATAAATTTGTATCACCGGCCCTTGTCAGATTCAAATTCAAATTTCAAAATTCAAATTCATTTTTTTTATTCAGGTAAAAGTATATACATACAAAATAACGTGGCTCAAGTATGTTGACCAGACCACACACTAGAAATTGAAGGGACGACGACGTTTCGGTCCGTCCTGGACCATTCTCAAGTCGATGGTCCGCATCGACTTGAGAATGGTCCAGGACGGACCGAAACGTCGTCGTCCCTTCAATTTCCGGTGTGTGGTCTGGTCTACATACAAAAGTACTTGTCGTATATTTTCCACTTCCCCCTTGTTCAAAATACTAATAACAAGCCCAGGAATGCTGGATATATATATATATATATATATATATATATATATATATATATATATATATATATATATATATATATATATATATATATATATATGCGGAAAATCCACAGAGAAATATGAAATGAGGTGAACGTTTCGGCTTGTTAAAGCCTTTGTCAACACCAGACTGTCAGTCAGTCTGGTGTTGACAAAGGCTTTAACAAGCCGAAACGTTCACCTCATTTCATATTTCTCTGTGGATTTTCCGCATAAAATGATCAGTGTTTTGTGATCGTCAATTGCATATATATATATATATATATATATATATATATATATATATATATATATATATATATATATATATATATATATAT